GGGGGGGGGGGGTCCTCTGCACTTCACCTAGAGCGAGACATTCTTATGATCCATACGCGCACCTCATACATCCACTTACTTTTTACAACCGGCACCACGGGCTGGGCTTTGCGCTTCCTCCCCATGGAATGTAAATGTATCAGTTATGTTGCCCACTGGGTCGGGAGAGGAGCACCATCATATCTGCCCAACGCTGTGCGGGCATCATAACGAGCAGCAAAAGGCCGCAGACCTGGCGTCTTTCAGGCTTTGTAGACCAATATAACTGTGTCTTGGGTCTCCATGCACCAGAAGTGGTCTGTTTGGATGGAAACGGGAGCATCATTCATGGATATAACAGCACTTGGAGCCCGTGGCCCAGGGATACCGTATCAGAAAAAGATGTCTCTCAGGCCCCCCGTCACGGTGGACGAGGAAGGCTATATATCTGTAATCACCTGAGGTAACGCCCCATGCAGAATTAGCATGATAATGTGCATCCTCGAGACGTCTTTCCCCAACACCCGAAAGCCAGTCTTTTTATCGCTCGCCAGATGTTTCCAATGTTACTCCTTCCCTTGATCCGCCCTACTCGCCCATCATTTCACCCTTTAGAGCTGACATTCATGTGCATTTAATCCGCCTCACAACACGTCCATTACTTTATGCTTAGGTGTAGGACCTGTTGAATATTTGCACGGCTGGCGTGAGTTCTGCCCATGGCATTGAGCAGTGCAGATGAAGAGTCCTCCTACGGTAATACTTCCAGCGACGACGACGATGAAAAGCTTGATAGCGCTCGGTTTATTCCTACCTCCCGTAAACTTTCCCCATCGCGCGTGGCTCCTAGAGGCACAAGCCTACAAAAGGACGTCATTGACTCGGACGAAGCTACCTCTGTGCAAATGGAAGTACTTGACTCGGATGAAGCGACAGGAAAAGAAGAGGATAGAGGGGCAGCGCATAGAGGAAAGGCGAATGGTATTGAGAAAGGAGACAGCGTACGTCGGTCGCTTAAGAGAAAGATAGCACAGGAAAGGGAGGATGGAAGCCTGGAAGATCAACGGATAGAGTTGACCCGGAGGCTGGGGAAAGTGCTGCAGAAATTAATCGAAAGTGGACCTCACATTTTGTACGCCACGCAACTGGAGGAAGCCTTCACGATGCATGTGGAGCGAGAGCGCTTGGCACGGAGCCAGCGAGACGCAACTGTGGCGTCGCAGCAGGATCATTCGGAGGGCCCAGGCAGAAGGAGTGAGGGAACGAGAAGTGCCGCCTCGTCAGTAGTAACTGTAGGTCTGCCCACTTTGTATTCGGACCTATCCAGCATCCTCCTGGACCGTCTTAGGCACGGCCCGAGGAAGAAATTGCGGCGTTTGCTCCAAGAAGCTATCAAAAATCAGGCCTGGGAGGTGGTGGCTCGGAAGTATTCGAGGAAAAGGCAAGCGAAAGAGGGC